ACAGACTTCCCTTCCCCTGGGCTTGGAGACTGTGTAAGGGAGCTGGGACAGGAGCTGGGTTTTTAAGAGGTCTGAGCAAGGAGGCAGAGGTTTTAATGAAAAGCCCCCGGTGGGGGGCTTTTCAGTTGGGCCCACAATGGAATGTTTACAGCCAGGCTTAGATAGATTGCCCTGCTGGAGTCAGGCAGTCTGCACTTATCCTTGGTGGGTTGCCTGGTATCTGTGTGCACCTGGGAAAACTGAGTGGGAGTCAACCCTTCATATTCCATCTTTGTATACACAGAAAGAGTGGGCCAAGAGGGGACGGGCAAGTCCTTCCTATAGGGTCTTTGATACATAAAAAGAATTGGGCTAAGAAGGGAGCAACATGCTATAATGAAAACAAAGCAGATTCCCATCAGTAATAATAACAATAAATAAAGTATGGTCAAATAGCCAATTTGACTTAGCTAACTCACTGGGGTTTCAGTTCAAAAACTATGCCTTGGATCAACGTTTGTTCTCTATCTGCTTCTAACCTTTATACTTTCTTATTCACACTTCCAACAAGAACATTGGTTCTCCACATGCCTCTCATTCTGCCAGACCTTCCACTTCCAACAGAACAATCAGGAAGAGAAGTAAAAGAGGTTCCATGAGTAGTAAAGTTGAATGAAAAGTTATATACCTGCCATGCATCCATCAATCAGACAGATATTACAGATAGGAATGTGATTAGACTAGGAACACCACAACTTACAAACTACTCCTTTCTACCCTCAAGAAAGGTGTTTTTTTTTTTTAATAAAAAAGCACTAGTAATTATTTTGTGACTGCTGTGACAGTAGCTAGGATTACTGTGATAGTGTTTCACTTAATCCTAACAATAATATTGCCAAGCAGCTATTGCTTAATCTTGCTTATAAAGAAGGGGTGGGGCGGGGGAAGAGATACTTTTGTTAGCTGCCATTGTATAATCTTGAAACAATTAAATCTTGGCACTACTAAACCTATAGATTAACCAAACTTTAGATATTTTTAGCAAGACTGAAGCAGTTTAGGGGGAGAACAAGATAGTCTTCCAAATGATCTTAATCAGATTACAAGAATTGAAGATATACTAGAGAGAATTTGATAAAGCAAAATATCAAGGGAAGTAAGAACATAATGATATAAGCATAAATAGGAATTAGTCATGCAATTAAAAATCCAATCATATCCCAAAGCTAGAAATAAGAGCAAGGATGAGAAGTGGGTTTAGATTTTAAAAGAACTTTATCTTGAAGAGTAGGATCAGAAATTGTAAGGACATTTTTGGCACCATATTCTTAGCAGGAAAAGGATAACAAGACTTAAGCAGCTTGACAAAGATGTAAAATACTTATCAGGGTGATAGATAATGGTTTTTCTTAAAAGTAGGAAAAAGTACTGATGAATTTTGGTCTGTAATACAACCGATTTTACAGCTTATAGGTTTACTTTAGCTTCATATTTTCAAAGACAGAGATTTCAAATGAGAACCTTTGCAGAAAAGGTTGTTGTAGAATTTGTTTGGATTTGTAGATAATTGAGCTATAATTGAGAGAACTAAGAGATGTGAGAGTAAAAGCAGTTCTGTGAGCTACATGCAGTGTGGAAATAAGCTGTATAAAACAAAACAACAATCAAGCCATTGATCCTGGTATTTGGTCTGGGTAGCAAGGAAAATAGAGACTGATACATTTTCCAATGTGAAATTTTCCAATGTTTCTAGACTTTAATTACCAGGGAACAGATATTAGAAAACCACCTCTCCCTGGGGAACCAGGACAGGAGTTAAACATTATCAGTGCTCTGTTAAATACTGGTAAGGAATTGTTCCTGATAAGCCTCTACTGTAACCCCTTATTTTTTTAAATTTTTCCTACGTAGGCTGAGATATTGGGGTGGTTTTCTTCCTTTATCAACAGCTCCTAGACCATTCCCTGGGGCCTTTGTGGCCTTGAGCAAAGCACTATCAGCTTGACTGCACTAGATACTTTGAACAACTCCCTGGATATCTTGAGGAAGATGTATGAAAACCAGGGTTTATTACTAGCTCCTGAACGTGCTATCTCAGCACCAGCTTGAACCAGACTTTCTCCCAGCACAAACGTTATCAAACTCTAAGTGACCTTGCAACTATTTCCACATATGAAAGAGAAAGAGGGCTCCCTTAGTGGCCCAGCAGAAGGTCTGTGACTGGTGCAAACATAGATCTTCATTTGCATAAATAGGTGTCATGATTGGTTGACTGATAGCAATGACTGTGCCATGATTGGTACAAGCACAATCCTTCATTTGCACAAATAGATGTCCTTGTCACACCTGCTTTCAAGCTACTGAAGCATCCATTGAGGGACAGTCGCCTATGCTGCTTTATGCCCCATATCTCAACATAAGGTCCAATAAAAATCTGTGGTAAATAACCAGGCACCAGTGATTCATGCCTATAAGCCTAGCTAGTCAGGAGGTTGAAATCTGAGGGTTGTAGTTCAAAGCCAGACTAGGAAGAGAAGTCTATGTGACCCTTATCAACAGTGAACTACCAAAAAAGCCAGAAGTAGAACTGTGGCCCAAATGGAAGAATATTAGCCTTGAGAGAAAAAAAAAAAAAAAAAGCTCAGGGCCAGAACCTAGATGCTGAGTTCAAGTCCTAGGACTGGCCCAAAAATAAAACCTTTGATCAAATGATCTTCCTTGTCTTCTTTTTATTTTCAACATTAGTAGAGTGGAAATAAGAAGAAGAAAAGTGCAAATAATGGAGGTAGGAGCAGCAACAGGGTAGTGGATATTATCCCAACAAGATCAAGAGAGGTGACAAGCTCTCTTCCCTAGTGGCAAGAGCCACCAGCAGAAGCAGCATTGAAGCAGATAGTAGCTGACCTGGGCTACTTGCATTAGCAGGGGATTGACAACCAACTGCACCTCCCATGGTATCAGGACCATCAGGGCCTGATCAAAGCAGCAGGAGCAGGGCTTGCCTCTGTAGCCAATCCATGCAGCAGCAGTGGATGTGACAAAAGAGAATGAAACAAAAGCAGGAACAAGAATGAAACTAGCATTTGTGGAATATGAGAGTTGTAACTCTTGCCCTTTCTGTAGGCCATGAAAATTCTTGGGTCTCCAGCACTTTCAAGTATGCAAAACAGTGCTGCTGTTCTAGATGTCTAAAATCCCAAGACCCCAACCACCAAAGAGGAGGATGGAAGCTGCAAGACTAGAGGATTGAACCTCTCATTTCTTGCTGTTATTTATCTTTGTTGTTCCTTGGGATTACAAAAACCTACTAAAGGCTAAGAAAATTTGGGAGAGCTTCTCATCTATCCACATTCTCTCTCACTAGAGCAGTACCCTAATCAACTGGTTTGTGACAACAGGTCTGTGCTATTGTCAAGGAAAAAATAGAAAGCACGGGATTTCAACTTTTCTTTATCATTCTCCACTGCTCTCTTTCTACCTGGTAACCAGAGAGTAAACAGGGTAAGTTAAACTATTGGGAAGGACTAGGACTGCTAAAGTAAGGCAGTGACTCTTCCCCTGAAAAAAGACAGGACCTAGCCAAAATGAATTGATAGAAACAAGGAGAGTATACAGGACGATAGTCTGGGGATACTGTACAAGAGGTGAAAGGAAAATAAATTTGGATGAGGGAAAAGTTTAATGAATTGAAAGCATTTTCCAGGGCTAGAGGATTAAACACCCTGGCAAGGAACTCTGAGAAACATTGCTGTCATTCTTCTATGATTTTTAGAAACTAAAGAAAAAGTGTTAAAGCCACACTAAAAGAAGTAGAGATGTACTATACCATGTGCTATACCATATAGCACAAAGTAATTGTGCTAGAGTGTTCTACCATGCAAAGTTGGAAACTCCAAAGTTCTCATTTGGATCCTACAGAATCTTAAAGTGACAAGAATTCCCAAATGAAAAGGGCAACAGCACCACTGAGTAGCTAATAGTAGCTCTTTTCCGTAGGTCATAATTGATGATAAAAGAAGTGGGGATGATAGAATACTGAAGTAATAGAAATTAAGTAGTAGCACTTAACCACCACAAAGGTACAATTATCCTAATGAATGTCAAGATTTGAGTGACACCCACAGTTCTGAACAAGAGAAAGCTTTTAAGGCAGTTATTAGGATATGACAGCCATAAGTGGAAAAACAAAACAAGGAGATAAACTCCATCTACAGAACAAAAAGGTATTGTGGTATCAGGAACATCAGGCAGAAGGCAGCAATCAAAATAAAAATTCAATGTGAGAAGTGGGTAGTGATGTCTTGGAGGCTGCTGGATTATTAAAGGCACAGGTGAATACCGGAAAGTCTGTTTAGAATGTTGTTAGAATGGAACCTGACAAAACAGAGAACTTAGAAGAAGTTGATTCCAACTTGGAAAAGAGTTGGCTTTGGGGTGAAATGCTTATCTTCACTGTTATTATTACAAAGGAATGACTGCCATTTGAGTCATTGTAAATTCATTCATGCAACTACATACGTGGTCAGATTTCAATGTAGTTAATTTGAAACTTTGATTGCTTTGGAGCTGATTTCCAACTTCCAGTCACAATTACAGAAAACTATTTGTGGATGCCCTGGGGTTTCAATCAGGGCCTGCACTTGGGCACAGCACTTGAACATGTGAACGCAGCACGTCTTTTCTTCTCGATTATGGTTCAGGTAGGGTCGGGTCTGGCCTGGTTTGCTCAGGGCCTAGAGGATTTCAATCCTCCTACCTATGGCCTCCAATGTAGCTGGGATTACGGCCCCAGAACGCCACACTCTGTTTTGGCGGGGAAGGAGCTCTCCTCAGTTTGCCAGGCTGGCCCGGCACTCAGATCCTGCCCAGTTTTAAGCCGGTGGGATTCCAGGCCGAGGCCGCGGAGCCCGGCCGGTAGCAGGCAATCCTCGGCGCGGCGAATCCGGACGCACCCTCCCCGCCTCCGAGCGCGGGCTCCTCCCCTGCCAGCAGGGGGAGCCCTGGCGGCCACGTCGCACGCCGACCACGTCCCAGTTTGCGCGGGGCTCGCCCGCTCTCCGGAGCGCGCACGTCTCGGAGCGGGGCGTTGTGAGCCCGCGCCCGGCGGAGGGCCGGGAATCCGCGGCTGTGCTCCGCCGGGACTCGAGGGCGCCGGAACCATGTGGAAGTTGCTCAGGGCCCCGGCCCCCGGTAAGTGCGGGAAGGAGCGGGGAACGGGGGCCGGATTTCCCGGGAGCCGCTGAGGTGTGGAAAGTTCGGCGGGCGACGCTTCCGGTCCATTCCCGCCGCCTTCCGGCGCCGCCTCGGCTCCCGC